TCCCATTGTAATTTCTGACCTTGAAGAGCCACCACAGAGCTCTTCACGGATGCTAGGGCTCTCCTCACAAATTTGTTTCTTGCAGCCATAGTGAAAAGTGTGTCCTCTGGACCCTCCCAGGATGGGTGAGCAGGTCTTACATGATAAACCCACTCTAACATTCCAATCTCCCTAAGCCATTGTTACCTTCATCTATAGATATACCAAGGAAGTGCCGGCATTTCCACCTTGGTGTTGAAGCACCCTGGGTGGCACAAATGGTTAAGCGCTCAACTACTAGCCAAAGGGTTGGCGGCTTGAACCCACCCAGAGGCATCTTGAGAGACAGGCCTGGTGATCTGCTTCCAAAAGGTCACAGCCTTGAAAACCCTATGGAGCAGCTCTACTTTGCTCACACGGGGTCGCCATGAGTCAGAATCGACTCGATGGCAACTAATAACAACAACCTTTGGGTTCATATTTCAGTCAACTAACCAAGAAAAATGCTAGAGCCATTCCTAACCCCCTGAGCTAAAACACTGAATCCAGCATCTCTGCTTTGTTGTTGTTTGTTTCTGCTTTCTGCTTAGTAGGTCCATACCAATAAATTCAGCCTGATCCAATGTCATATGCCTTCTGCCTTGATCCCACTCCCCTAAGATTAATTCCCACACATATTCCCCAGGTTTCTGTTCATGTAAATTGGAAAAATCATGCAATTCTTTTGGTGTGTATCACACCTCCCTATGAGTCACACTTTGTACCTCACTCTTTGGGCCTCCTGGGACTTGAGTCTATTTATAGGTCTAGAAGAAAAGAGAGGTGGGAGGGGCAGGTCCTGAGAAGGATCAGCAGTGCCTTACACAGCAACTATGGGGGGTGGGGTAGGGGGAGCATTACAGGTTCTTCAGACCAAGGGGAAGACTGACCTCCTCAGGCAGGGGCAGAAGGGTTTCTTCTCCTGCAAAGAAGACTCTGAGGTCCCCAGCTTCATCCTAATCTGCCCATATGTCCCCATTCCAATTTTCAGGATCCTTTTTCTTCCCAATCAATGCCCTCACTTCAACAAAAGAAACCGTGGGAGGTTGGGAATTCAATTGCACTGTAATTCAACCATTTGTGGGAATGCTGTTGTTGTTAAGTTGCCATCTAGTCCATTCCAACTCCTGGCAACCCCTGGTGTGCAGAGTAGAACTGCTCCATAGGGTTTTTAAGGCTGTGACTTTTTGGATGCAGATTGAGAGGAGGCCTGTCTTCCGAGGCACCTCTGGGTGAATTCAAACCACCAACCTTTCAGCTAGTAGTCAAGTGCTTAACTGAGCCACCCAGGGACTCCGTTTGCAGGAACAGATTTAGGATATTTGCTTTCAGAAATCTCAGCCCTGTGGCTACGGAGAATCAGTGTTCCTTTCAGGGTAGTCATAGAAACTTTCAGATCCTTTATGCAGACCTTGAGCTGGGAATTTAAGCTCTGAACTGATGATCATTTTCTTTCCCCACATTCTCCAGCAGCCAACCAACCCTTTTATACTCCTTGTTTTGACTAAAATACTTGGTCACCCTGAGATCTGATTACAGGTATCTAAAGGTGGTAATTTGAATAACTATTTTGCCACTTCATGCCATGGACTACAAGTGCTTCCTTTACCACTGGGAACAGGGTCATTAACGCCTTCAATTCTAATCAGATTAGGAAACCAATTCCAGAAAACCCAGAACCAATTCAGAGCATTCCTCCTTAAGTTCTGTTCTTTTGGAACCACTCTCCGTGCCAAATTCTTTATCAGTCAAGATTCAACCAGAGAAGCAGAAACAGCAGTGGGGAGATACACATGTAATTTGCTACAGGGAAGTGGCTTATGCAAACGTAGGAGCTGTTTAAGCAGTCTCTGTAAGGCTGTTGTCTCCCTTTCTGATGCTGGAACGCTAAGTCCGTAGGGCAGGCAGTCAGGAAGGGAAGATCATAAGCAGGCTGAAACCCACAAGCACAAGGTAGAACCCCACAAGGATTGACTGAAGCCCATGGCTGTTCTGATTGTCTCTGACCTTGGTGACGAGGATATCCTGCAGAAGATAGGGCCCTTTGTCATAGAGCCAAATACACACATATGCCCAGGAGTCAGAGAAGCTGACAGAGCATCCAGGGAAAGACAGCTGCTACTTCACACCAACGAGGTGAATCACAGATCAGCAACAGTGTGTGTGACCTACAAAATGGCTACTGCTTCCCTTTCACCTTCCAAATTTCCCAAGCATCTCCCTTGTGGCCCATCCTAACCAGAAACATATAAAAAAGGGAATTCTGAGAAATGTAGTTCAGCCTAGCCAAATTGACACATTATAAAGCCATCACATTCTTTAGTGGTTATAGGTCTCTTCAGACCTACTCTTTGTTCTTGAATTAGCTTTAGTAAATTAAATTTTTCCCTAGGAAATAGTCCATTCATCTAATTTATCACATTTATTGGCATCACAGAATTCTTGTGATCTTTTAAAAAAAAAAATTTCTGGTATATCTACTGTTATGTCCCTTTTTCATTTATTCATTAATATGGTTGGTTATCTTTAATATTATTTTCTAATTTAATTGTATTATGATCAGAGAATGTAGTCACTTCCTTATTGATTGCTTGGTATTTGACATACGTTTTGCAGTCTAGTACATGATCAATTTTTTTTAACTGTTCCAGCTGTGCTTAGAAATGTGTATTCTCTAAAATTGATTGCAGGGTTGTGTGTGTGTATTACCAGAATACCAGAAAGATGTTTACCTGTGTTTTATTGACTATGCAAAGGCATCTGACTGTGTGGATCATAACAAATTATGGATAACACTGAGAAGAATGGGAATTTCAGAACACTTAACTGTGTTCATGAGGAACCTGTACATAGACCAAAAGGCAGTCATTTGAACAGGACAAGGGGATACTGCATGGTTTAAAATCAGGAAAGGCATGCATCAGAGTTGTATCCTTTCACCATAATTATTCAATCTGTATGATGAGCAAATAATCTGAGAATCTGGACTATATGAAGAAGAACGTGGCATCAGGATTGGAGGAAGACTCATTAACAACCTGTGATATGTAGATGACACAACCTTGTTTGCTGAAAGTGAAGAGGACTTGAAGCACTTACTGATGAAGAGCAAAGACTACAGCCTTCAGTATGGATTACACCTCAAATTGAAGAAAACAAAAATCCTCACAATTGAACCGATAAGCAACATCATGATAAATGGAGAAAAGATTGAAGTTGTCAAGAATTTCATTTTACTTGTATCCACAATCAATGCCCATGGAAGCAGCAGTCAAGAAATCAAAGGACGTATTGCCTTGGGTAAATCTGCTGCAAAAGACCTCTTTAAAGTGTTGAAAAGCAAAGGTGTCACTTTGAGGACTAAGGTGCACCTGACCCAAGTCATGATATTTTCAATCGCCTCATATGCTGGACAGTGAATAAGGAAGACTGAAGAAGAATTGATGCCTTTGAATTATGGTGTTGGTGAAGAATATTGAATACCCCATGGACTGCCAGAAGAACAAACAAATCTGTCTTGGAAGAAGCACAGCCAGAATGCTCATTAGAAGCAAGGATGGCAAGACTTGGTCTCACATACTTTGGACATGTTATCAGGAGGGACCAGTTCCTGGAGAAGGACATCACGCTTTGCAAAAGAAAGGGTCAGTGAAAAAGAGGAAGACCATCAACGAGATGGATTGACACAGTGGCTACAATAATGGGCTCAAGCATAACAATGATAGTGACGATGGTGCAGGACCAGGCAGTGTTTCTTTCTGTTGTACATAGGGTAGATATGAGACGGAACCAACTGGACAGCACCTAACAACAACAACAACAACAATCCTCTATATGCTAATTTTTTATTTACCGACACAGGTATATTAAAAATCTCTCTGTATTATTTTTTCCTGGTAGTTTTGTCAACTTTTGCATTATAAATTTTAAAGCTCTGTTATTGGATGCATATAAGTTTATAATTGTTATGTCTTTCCAGTGAATCATTTCTTTTAGCATTCAGTAATGACCTTCTATATCCCTAATGATATTCTTTGCCTTAATTATATTCTATGCTGTCTGATAATAATATTGCTATGGTTTTGATTATGCTCTTTTCCCCCTACCCCCTAGCAGTTTCTTTTACTTTCTTGCAAGCTCAGCTATATATTTTAAAAAGATATCTGTTATATTTTATCCCTTATTTCTGGTGTTTGTAGCAGGCAGGGTTGGATTGCAAGATATCTAGTTTTGACATGTTGATAGATCCTGAAGTTCTCAAACTTAAAAATAATATAAAACATATACTTGCCTTTAAATAGAAATCTCTTATTATGTTTGATATACAATCAGAATAGCAGAATAAATTGCACAATGTATGCATAACCAAAGCCCCATCTTACTAATGAAGGTGTCAACCCATATTGATTATAAGGCTCAGTCTGAATGTTTTCACTTTCCATCCTCAACAGCTAAGGGAAAAAAAATGCTTTTTCAAACAATATACTTTCACAGATTCCCCCAAGAATCTGATATGGCCTCCATCCCTGAAAGGTTCCCCCACAATTGAGAATCACTGGTTTATGGTATCTCCAAAGAAAACTGCAGGTGCGAGACGGCAAGATTTTATTGCAGTAATAGTTAGGTATTCCTCCTCCTATCCCTCAGCCATTCACAGATATTGCACTTAATAGTTTTCTTGATCTATTGTGGGTTTGTTTGTTTGTTTGTTTCAGTTTATTTCCAAACTGCTCTGGTCTTCTGGTTAGGTGACATCCAGGCACAGGGCTCAAAATTAGTTTCTGACGTGTGTAATGCTGGAGCTAAATTTTATCAGATGCCATTTAACCTAGTCTTATGAGTAACAGTTCACTAGGTACTTCCACCCACACTGTGCAATTTGTGAAGTAAGCTAGGATCTACTCTTCTCCACTACTGACTATGAATTTCAAGAGTTGGGAAAAGATTGTGTCTTTCATGTATACAAAGCTTGGGTGAAGTCCTCATTCTTGGACAACAGGCTTGTTTGACTTACGTGATGGGTCAAATCTATGCACTACATGGAAAGCCTTTAAAAACTCGTTAAAATCAATGCTTCCATCTTTGTTTAAGTCCATTTTGTTGGCAAGCTCATCAACTTCAGAATCATCAACTGGAACACCATAGTGCATTTTGAAAAGTTTCCACATGGTGCGAAATTCCTCCATGGAGATCATGCCTAAAAGAATACAGGCGAAAGCTGTGAGTGCTCATTTTAAGAACCACCTAAGGGAGAGGTGAGGAAGCCATACTGATTGAATAGTCCCAATTAGAAGCTTACTACCATGCCTGACCATTAAGACACTGAAGGAATGGAAGAGTAAGAACATAAATGTAAGAAACCATATGTCACTTTCAACTACCAAAAGATCCTGAGATTGCTCTAAAGCTGGAATGAGAAAAGAGTGAAGGAATGAGGGGGGGGTTGTAGGCTGTGGGACAATATGTGGTATAGAAATTTTAAGATCTGAAATTTAAGGGAGGGAGACATGGAAGGAGGGCAGAGAGGAGAACATCAAAGCAGTGGAAGTAGATACCCTGGGACTCAGCCAGAGGACTGCAAACAATGTTTATAGGTGATAATTTGCTTTCATGTGTTAGATTATTGATTAGTGTGTGTGTGTGTGTGTGTGTGTGTGTTGAGAAAAGGTCTCTGCAGTACCGGATTATCTGATGATTTTTCAGTTTGAAAATGAGAGATTGTGCATCAAAGCTAAGTAGAAAATGAGTTGTCATAGCCCTCACTTCCAAAAACAGAATCAGAACTCGAGGACTGGTTTTTATTGCAAGGAATAATTAAGATATTTAAATGGACAGTGAATTATTTTAACATTCGTGCTGGTGATTTATAAAAGGAGTGACTCCAATTTGACCAGTGGATACATAGGCTTATGTAGGACTCTATGGTCTTAATACAGAGTTTGTGGCCAAGCTAAACTAATAATAATAATAAACATGGGTTCATTTTTCCCCTCAAGTTTAATCAGGTTTGGATGAAGGATGAAACAGATGAAAACAGAGTTCTGGTTTCGGAGAAATAGACCAACCTTTGCTAATTAAACTAATCAAAGTTGATTTACCTGAGTGATCAGTGTCAATGATGTTAAATATAATATGTAGGTCAGATCGGTATCTGTAGAGAGTCTCAATTAGAGTGGAATGAACCTAGAATAAAGATTTTCTAAGTGTTAAAACAGAATTAATGACAGAGATCAATTTTAGTAAAAGTAACAAACACAAGACATCATCACCAATTCAAATGATATGACTTAGAAATTTGAGAAGGCAAGCCTTCCTTGGAGGCCAATCCTCTTTAATCAGATAAAAAACTGCTCCCTGTGTTCTGAAGCTGTGCAGTCTGTATTCCTCAGGGGACAGGGCCAAGGCCAATAAAAAAAACCTGTTGCCGTCAAGCCGATTCTGACTCACAGTGACCTTACAGGACAGAGTAGAACTGCCCATAGGGTTTCAAACACTAATCTTTAAGGAAGAAAATCACCACATCTTTCTGCCTTGAAGCGGCTGGTGGGTTCCAACTGCCTAGCTTTTGGTTAGCAGCCGAATGCTTAACCACTGCGCCACCTGGGCTCCTTCAAGGTGCATAAAACCAAACCAAATCCATTGCCATCGAGTCGATTCTGACTCATAGTGACCCTATAGGTGAATCAAGAGGCAGTAAATACCTGGATGGTGCAAAGAGTTAATGTGCTTGACTGCTAACAAAAAGGTTAGAAGTTCGAGTTCACCCAGAGGCACCTCAGAAGAAAGGCCTGGTGATCTACTTCTGGAAAATCAGCCATTGAAAACCCAATGGACCACAGCTCTACTCTGACACGGGTGGGGTCACCATGTGTCAGCGTCGACTCGATGGCAACTGATTTTTTAAAAGATAACAATAGCCAACATTTACTGAGAGCACCTGTGTGCCAGGCTCTGCACTGAGAGCTTTATGTGGATTATTTCATTTAGTCCTCAGCAACAACCCTAGGAGTAGAAACAGAACTACTATCATGTCCATTTTACAAACTAGAAAACAGAGCGGTAAAGTAACTTTCCTACATTCACATACCTGGTAAGTGGAATTTGAATCTAAGCTGCCTGAAGCCAAGGCCTATGATCCTAGTCACCACATTAAATTGCCTCTACGTGAAGTCAAAGCCTCCTTCCTGTAGATATTTTAATCTTCTAACTGCACTGTTACTTCCCTTCTCTCTGCTTTTAACGTTTCATCTCCCCTGCAAACAACCACCCAGGTCCCAGTTCCAACTTTAACTAATTGCTGATGAGCTGTTAACTACTAAATACTATGAATCAACTTGATGGCAAGAGCGGGGGAGGGTACTGGGGTATTCACATTTTAATAAGGGATTCTAATTTTAAAAATCTTGAAAGTATATTCTGGGTCATGTCAGCAAGTCTAGACTCCCACAGGCTAAGACGGAATCCGCTGGGTATTTTAAAAGGGGTGTTGTATGGAAGAATAGATGTCACACCTTTCGTTCTGCTGGCCAGCACTTAAAATAAGAATCACATATTTGCCATAGATTTGCTTACAGAAGCTTTTTTTTTTTTTTTTTTTGCCTACCCTTAGAATGGAGCCTTGGTGGGACAGTGGTTAAGAGCTTGGCTGTTAACCAAAAGGTCTGCAGTTTGAATCCACCAGCCCCTCCTTGGAAATCCCATGGGGTAGTCCTACTCTGTTCTATAGGGTCACTATGAGGCGGAATCGACTCGATGGCAACAGGTTTGTTTTCTTTTTTACCCTTAGAATGCACAAATTTTCCCAACAGATCACAATGTACAAGTACCCTTTAGACCTTTCCTAGGACAACCTCCATCCATCAGCTAATTCCTCTCCTAAATTTTGAAAGGGCCAAGTTACTCTTTTAGGTTGTCCAAAAGGTGTTTCCCTCTAGCCAGGTTTTAGCTGGAGCTATGTTTCACTTGCCTCTTTTACAGGTTTTTGAATGCGGATATTCTGGAAGCTGGACATGTAGTCAACATTTCCATCTCTGTCGGTGAGTACCAGACGCGTGCTCAGTGATCTCCATGGTAAATTAAGCTCCAAAACGCTCTCCATGGAAAAAGCCCACTGGCTCAGAGAAAGTTTTCCTAACAACAACAACAACAAAGCCCACATCATTTGGTTATTATTTGATAAAGAAAGGCAACCTCCTTGGCAGAGCCGGTGGGCAGCCTGGGGGTATCCTGCTGTCCTCTGTGATTTGTCCTATCAGGCCTCCAGCCCTGGGGGAATAACAGTCTTTCAGTTCCACAGATCTTTCCCTTACTAGCACTTGTAAGGAATCAGAGTCTGGGTGTGAACTTTTTTTTATCCTTTTTCTGATTAACAAAGTAAAGTACGCTTATTGCAGAAGATTTGAAAACACAAAAGAATATAAAAAATAAGATTTACTTTTGTTTTTAATGTTTGATATATTATTCATCTGTCATATTCCTGTGTAACATCCTTTTCCCCCTAATATTGTATGTAATTTTTTCAAAGCAGAAATATCTTTAGTTTTTTCTGATTAAAGATATGCTGACTCTAAATAATTTATAATACACGGAAAACAGTGTTATTACTCCCAGTCCTTTTTCTATATATAGAAGCATGTGTAGTCATGAATGTATATATATAGTCTTTCTTAAAACAAAATATACACTATATGCTAGCATATGTTTTATATACTTGTATTGCATATGACAACACACAGACATATTTACTCTAACTTGCTTTTTTACTTACAATAAATTATGGACATCCATCTATATTAATAAACACAAATCTACATCATCATTTTAATGGCTATGAAACTATTCCATTATTTCCTTAGGATAATTCCTAGAAGTGGAATTGCCAGATCAAAGGGTATGTAGATTTTTAAGGCTGTTGATATACAACGCCAAACTGCTTTCAAGAAAGTCTATCCACTTACACTCCCATCAGACCATTTCCTCACACACTTAGCAGCTAAGGACAAAATTCTTTTTTGTTATTTTAATGAAGTTTAACACTTACAGAAAAGTTCTCAAAACAAATATAGAACTCAGTACATTATTACAAAGGGAACTCGTGTGTAATCACCACCAAGTACAAGAACTAGATCGCAGCTAGTATCCGAAACGCCCCCTTGTGCCCCTGACAATTGCTACCACCTCCCACTTTCCCTAGCAGAGCCACTATCTTGACTTCTAACACTATAGTTCATTTTTGCCCTTTTTAATCTATACATAAACAGAATCGTACGGTATGTATAGAGGGGGAGGGGTCTGGCTTCTTTTGCTCAAAACTAGGTTCATGAGATTCAGCCATGTTGTTCCATTTAGTAGTAGTTTGTTCATTTTCATTGATGTATAGAATTCCATGACATGAATATTCACAATTTATATATCCATCCTATTGTTGATGGGCATTTGGGTTATCTCTGGTTTGGAGTTATTACAGACAGTGCTACTAAGAACATTTCTGTATACGCCCTTTTGGTGCATATGTCTACCTGCATTTCTGTTGAGTAAATACCTAGGAGTGAAATTGCCGGATCATAGGGTATGTGTTTGTTCAGCTTCATTTGATACTCCAAACAGTTTTCTAAAGTGGTTATACCAGTTAAGACTTTGTACCAATTTAGACACCATCAGTATATAAGAATTCTAGTTTGATCCACATCTTTGCCAACATTTGATATTGTCAGTCTTTTTCATTTCAGCCATTCTAGAGGGTATGTAGTAATATCTCATTGCAGATTTAATTTGCATTTCCTAGATGACCAAAAAGTTGAGCACCTTTGCATATATTGGTTATCTGGATATCCTCTTTGACGAACTGTCTATACAAGTCTTTTGCCAATTTCTCTACTGGATTTTGTGTCTTTTTAAAAATTGATTAGTAGGAATTACTTATATTTTTCGGATATGAACCCTTTGTCAATTACATATATTGCAAATATCTTTTCTCATTCTTGGTTTGCCTTTTATTCACTCTTTAAAGTGTAGTTGGATGAACAGAAGTTCTTAATTTTAATGTAACTAATATTACCACTCTTCACTTTATGGTTAGTGCTTTTCTGTTCCGTTTATGAAATCTTTGCCAAGTCCAATGGCATAAATAAATTCTCCTGTATTGTATTCCAGAAGCCTTGTTGTTTGTCTTTCATGTTTAGGTTACAGTTCACCTGGAATTTATTCTTGTGTATGTTACGAGCAATGGTCCATTTCTTTTCTTCATATGGATATCCATTTGGCTTAGCCAGCATCATTTTCTTTTTTATGTGAATATCTTTGCAGAATTTTTTTTAATTGTACCTTAGGTGAAGGTTTACAGAACAAATAGTTTCTCATTAAATAGTACATATATTGTTTCATGACAGTGGTTAACAACCCCACAACATGTCAACAGTATCCCTTCTCAACCTTGGGTTCCCCATTACCAGCTTTCCTGTCCCCTCTTGCCTTCTAGTCCTTGTCCCTGCGCTGGTGTGCCCCATTAGTCTTGTTTTGTTTTATGGGGCTGTCTAATCTTTGGCTGAAGGGTGAACCTCAAAAGTGACTTCATTATTGAGCTAAAAGGGTGTCCGGGGGCCATATACTCTTGGGGTTTCTCCAGTCCCTGTCAGGCCAGTAAGTCTGGTCTTTTTTTGTTAGTTAGAACTTTGTTCTCCATTTTTCTCCAGCTCTGTCCAGGACCCTCTGTTGTGATCCCTGTCAGGGCAGTTGGTGGTGGTAGCCAGGCACCATCTAGTTGGACTAGACTCAGTCTGGTGGAGGCCATGGTAGCTGTGATCCATTAGCCCTTTGGACTAATCTTTCCCTTGTGTCTTTGGTCTTCTTTATTCTCCCTTGCTCCAGACAGGGTGAGACCAGTGGAGTATCTTAGATGGCTGCTCACAGCCTTTTAAGACCCCAGACACTACTCACCAAGGTAGAATGTAGAACATTTTCTTTATAAACTGTGTTAGCCAGCATCATTTATTGAAAAGACTGTCCTTTACCCACTGCTCAGCAGTGGCACCTTCAAATGTCCATATATGCATGAATCTGTTTCAGGATTCTCTATTTGGTTCCATCTGTCTATATGGGGATCCGTGTGCCAAGTCTATACTATTGTAATTATTGTACCTTTACAATGTCTTGATATACAACAGGGCAAATCTTTCTACCTTATTGCTGTCTTGGCTATTTTTGGCCTTTTGCATTTTTCATATAAATTTTAGATGCAACTTCTCAAGACCTACCAAAAAATCCCCATGCTGGGATTTTGATTGGGATTGCATTAGAACTTATAGCTCAATTTCGGGAGAATTTATATCTTGACAACTTTGACCCTTATAGCCCATGAACACAGTAATATTCACCCATTTATTTCACTTAGCTTTAATTTCTCTTAATAATATTTTATAGTTTCCATGAAGAAATCTCGTACATCATTCATTAGATTTCTTCCTAGGTACTTGGTTAATCTATTGTGAATGGTATCTTTTAAAATTCTCATTATCTGTAAGTTAATTGCTGCCTACACCAGCAATTATTTCCACTTAGCTCCAAATTTACCCTTCTTTGCCCTGCTTTGTGACACTGGAGCTAGACCCTGTGAACCTTTCTCCTTTGGCAGCTGGTATGATGTTAGGCTTTGTCAGCAGAGGGCACAGGAAGAATATTGCAAGGCATTAGCAGAAGCAGCAGTTTCTCATTCTGGTTCTGGTGTGCTTTGCTTCTTGCTTCTATAGCACAATGTGGTGGCCAGAGGTGAGCGGAAGATGCAGTAGCACCCACTCCACAATAAGTTTCACTGGTACCACAGTGGGTGGCTTCCTTGCCAGTAGTGTATGGGAAACACAGTGGCACACAGCCTCTAGAGTTTTTTTTTGTTTTTTGTTTTTTTTTTTTGGCACCCCAGTGGGTAGTTTCCTTGCCAGCAGTGTGTAGGAGACACAGTGGTGCACAGCCCCCAGAGAGTTTTGCTGCACACATAATAGTGGGTGGCTCCCTTCTCTCCAGTCCTGGCCCACTAGCTGTAGACAGGCTTCGACCTGAGGCACCTCAGTGAATTTCTCCCCAGTCTAGTGGGCCACAGACAAACCCTCTCCAATTGTTTCTGTTGAGAAGTCTGATATCAGTCTAGTTGTTGTCTCTTTGCAGTCATCTAGTTTCTCTCTGCCTGCTTTTAAGATTTTCTCTTTGCTGTTGGTATTCACCACAAATGTTTGTAGGTGTGGATTTAACTTTATTTATTCTGCTTGAGAATCACTGTTCTTCTTTATCTGCGGGTTTGAGGCTTTCATTGGTTCTGGAAAAGTCTCAGCCTTTATCATATCAAATATTTACTCTCTGACATTCTCTCTATTCTTTCCCTTCTAAGACTCTGATTATGTATGTTAAACTTTCTCATTCTACTATCCGTAACTCTTAATCTCTTTACTTCTTCCTTAATAAGTGTCTTATGTTCTGTTTAACCCATCCATTATATTTTCTCTTCATTTTAGCAAGTATATTTCTATATCTATCTGGTTCTTTTTCAAATAATTTTCAAATGCATTTTTTTTTTGTGATTCCATCTTTTATTTCTTTAAACATTTTTTTACTTAGTTATTTTATATTGTGTATTTGACAATTCCAATATCTGATGTCCTTGGGGAACTAAATTTGTTGTTTGTTGTTTCTGCTCACTCTCACTCACGGTAGCTTGTTTCCTCATTTGTTTGGTGATCTTTAGCTGTAAGCTCGTATTTGTTGATCTTAATCTCTGAATATACTAATGGCCAAAATGAGGGATGCTTCTCTTGAAGATGGATTTGCATTCGATTCTGCCCGAAGCCATCGTGCACTACAAACCAAGGTCTACTTTAGGCACTTTGAGAGTCCAGGATTAATGTGGAAATCTCAAATTCAGCTTCTCCGTCTTTCTACTATCCTATAGGTTAGTTTCAGGATTGATTGCCACACTGATAACAGCATTTCTTCCCAGGGCGATCCAGCCTTTTGTGCTTGCTTCTGCTTCATACTTCCAGATGCGGTTTCAAATAGCCCTTCATATGGAGAGGAGATGCAGCCTGCAGATTTACCTTACTTATTGTGAGGTTGGCAAATGCATTAAAATTCTGCTTCTTCCCAAATCTAGTTGTTTGTTAACAGGAGAGCCCTGGAGAGTGTCTAGTCTGACATACTACCAGAACAGAATCAAATTCAGGGTTGTTATTTTTGTTGAAAGAAACTTTCTGAAAAGGGGGAATGTGACTTTTTCCCAGTGTATAATAGATTATATTTTATTTTATCTCTATCATTATGTAAAAATAGTAAAATAGTAAAATAAAAATAGTAAAAATAGAGAACTGAAATCTTAAAGAAGCAAAGGGAATAAAAATTGATCAGTATGTTACCTGATATGTTAATAAATGATACGCATTACATGATTTTATTACCTGATTTATTGCGGTCATAAAGTTCAAAAGCATGAACAAGGTCAGTTTTTCGTGCTATTATTCTCTCTTTTAACATCCTGATGGCACTACCTTCAACAGTATTCACCCTATGTCAAGAAAACAATTATTAGGTGAAAGTTACATAAATCATCCTGTTCTGCTTCATTTTAATGTGCTATGTTACCACTTACCAGTTTCCACTTTAAATGAATTGCTTAAATTCATATATGTCATGTTACTGGATGGTGAATGCATGTGTATATATGTATGTATGTGTGTGTATTCTGTGAAATTTTAAAAAGATTACTAGTGAGATTTTCTTTTCTATTTCAATGATTCACATGGACAATTAATTTTTGAGAATATCCAAGATAATTTTGAAAAAGGAGGAAGTTGCTATACCAGATATTCAAATTTACTGTAAAATTGCTTAAAGAAAACAGCAGGTACTAACACAAGAGAAGACAAATAATAAGTAGAACATAACAGAAATTCCATAAATATTGCTGACTATATATTGTAATGACATATATGACAAAGCATTACAATTCAGTAGAAATGGTGCTAGCATAACAACACTCCATCAAACAACAGTAAGATATACATTCTTCTCAAGCATACAATTGTTGATAGTATTCTCTTATAACCCTTTTTATTTCTGTAAGGTTTGTAGTGATATCCTCTTTTTCATTCTTGGTTTTAGTAATTTGAATCTTCACTCTTCTTTTCTTGGTCAGCCAAAAATACATAAAGCAAAAGCCGACAAAATAGATAACCTAGATGAAATGGACAAATTCCTAGAAAGATGCAAACTACTAAAACTGACTCAAAAAGAAACAGACAATCTGAATAGACCTATAACAAGTTAAAAGATTGAATAAACAGAAGGAGGATAAGGAATGTGTGGCTAATTGCCTCCGTGAATAACTGTCTCCTTCGCCACAAGATCAGAAGAACTGGATAGTGCCGGGCTACTGTTACTGAACATTTTGATCAAAGATGCTGTAGAAGAATCCTGATCAAAAGTGGGAAAATGTAGAACAGAGTTTCAAATTGTCATGGACTCCAGACTTCCTGGAGCCATTGAGGTTGGATGAACCCCTGAAACTGTTGCCCTGAGAAAATCTTTAAACCTTAAACCAAAAATATCCCCTGAAGTCTCCTTAAAACAAACAATAGTTTAGGTTAACTAGTAAAAAATGTCTGCCTTGAGCATTAAGCTCTTTTAAGAATGATCCATATGGGATCAAACTGACAACAGCAACTCGTAAGATTAGATAGGAACCTTAGGGGGCAGTGAATTTATGTTAATGAGGGAGGAACAACTCAGAAAAGGAGGGTAAGAATGGTTGCACAACTCGAAGAATGTAATCAGTGCACTAAATGGTACACATAGAAACTGTTGAATTGGTGTATTTTTTGCTGTGTATATTCTTAACAACAAAATAAATAAATTTATATATATATATATACATTAATACACACACATAAATACATATATATATATAAAGATTGAGTAAGTAATCAAAAACCTTCCCACAAATAAAAATCAAGGCCCAAATGGCTTCACTGGTGAATTTCATCAGACATTTAAAGAAGAATTAATACCAATCCTTTACAAAGTCTTCCAGAAAAGAAAAGATATGGGAATGAAGCTAGTATTATCCTGATACCAAAACCAGACAAAGACATCAACAAGAAAAGAAAACTACAGACCAATATCTCTTACGAATATAGATGCAAGAATCCTCAAAAATACTAGCAAACTGCATCTAGCAACATATAAAAAGGATTATGAATATCATGACAAAGTCAGATTTACCCCAGGTATGCAAGGTAATAAATATATCATATTAATAGAAAAAGAGACAAAAACCATGTGATCATCTCAATAAATGCAGAAAAAGGATCTGACAAAATCCAACACATTTTCATGATAAAAACATTCAACAAACTAGGAATAGAAGGGAACTTTCCCAACCTGTGAATGTGACCCTGTTTGGAAATAGGGTCTTTGAAGATGTTATTAATTAGGTTAGCATGAGGTCACAATGGAGTGAGGTGGGTTCTAATCCTATATGACTGGTGTCCTTATAAAAGAGAAGAGACAGAGAGACAGAAGGAAGAACACCCCGTGAAACTGCAGCTGCAAGTCAAGGAAACCCTGAAGCTATTCTTCCTCAAAGTCTCAGAAAGAATCAGCATGGTCGTCACTCTGATCTCAGCCTCCCAGCCTCCAAAACAATGAGACAATAAATGTGTGTTCTTATAAGCCACCCAGCTTGTGGTTTTTTGTTACAGCTGCCCTAGGAAACTAAGACAGAGTTTGGTACTGGGAAGTGGGGTGCTGCCATAAAAATGTGGAAGTGGCTTTGGAATTGGGTGATGTGTAGAAGCTGGAAGAGTTTTGAGGTGCTTAATAGTAAAAGTCTAGATTGCCTTGAAGAGACTGTTGGACTGATTGCTGTATCGCCTGTACCTAGAATAGTGCCTGACACATAGTAGGTGCTCAAAAATATTTTCATTAAATGAGTTAATAATTGCTAGTCTATTTTTGTAGGAGCAAGGGTAGAGGGTGGCTAGGCCCACCCTAGGCTGTTTGTTTTACTTACCTCTGAGGCAGGATTATTGAGAAGTAGGGGGAGAGAAGATTATAAACGTTTTCTTTATACATGTTTGTTTTGTTTTACTTGTTAACAATTAATATATTAGTTTTATAATTTTTAAAAAAATCTAAAAAAGAATGTTAAAGGGAGAAAAAAAGGAAGGTAAGCTATTAATGGGATCACATGGAGGGAGACATGCAACTATTTTAGGCATATATACCTCTGGCAAGACCACACTGGGCTGTTTGTTGAGCAGAGAAGGTTGTAGGTTAGGGGCCTGAGTGGGTGTGAGGACCCTCATTTCTTTCCATTTAATTAGGGCCTGTCCCTGGGTGCTAAATTCTTTATCCAGCTGAAGAGTTTATGAATTGAAAATTGCCCCTTTTGGTTTCAAATACGGGCACATTCACCACTTGGTAGACTGGAACCGTTTCCATTTTGTTTATATCAATGAGTCACCAATAAGTAGTTATTGTCACTCTCATGGCTGCTCTTAGTCACTCTGGACTTGCTCTCCTCTCCTCAGTCACAATGCCAGTGCTGAGTATTCTCCTTAGAGTATACACACCTTTGGTAAAGAGGCCTTATGTGCGTTGCCTTAGTTACTTGATACTGAAAAATTTTAGGGAGTGTATTAAAACTCAGTCTGAGGTAAGCGCCTCGATTGCTCCCATCTTCGTAATAATTCGATGCGGAAAATATAGTAATAACCTGATTGAAGAAAAAAAGGGTCAGGTTCATATAAAATCAGTTCTCCAAAGGTCATTCAATAAATTCTTACAAAACAAAAAATCAAACTTCATAACCACTGAAAATTATCCAAGTCTGATGTGATTTCTGTGATTACATTGGAGGAAAACAAGGTTTTTTAAAATCACTGTCCCCACTCATCCAATACCCCGGTGCATGGCCTTCCAGTCCTGTATATAATTTTAGTTCTATGTCTTAGACTCTTTCTTAACGTTCGGTTTTGCAAATTCTAATTTTCCAAGGGGATAAATTATAATATTTGGACATTCAAATATTTGTCCACTATCACTGTCTTTTTCTTTTTCTTGGAGTTGAGTGATTTAGCAGGTTCAGGGCTCCAAAAACCAGCATCTTAAGGGCAGTGAAATAGTGGCTAGAGTAAATGGCCCTGACCCCCATCTTGGAAAGGAACCAGCCTTGGGACTCTGGTGGAGTGTGGGAGGATACCACTTGTCTGTGATGGGAAAGCTAGCTTAGGCCTCCAAACCAAAAAAGACCAAATTCGTTGCCATCAAGTTGATTCCGACTCATGCCCTAATGAGTATGTCACTTCAGACAAGCCACTGCTATTTTCTCTCAGTTTTATTTTATTTGTTGTTGTCGTTGTTAAGAATATACATAGCAGAACATACAGCAATTCAACAATTTCTCCATGTACAATTCAATGACATTGATTACATTCTTCAAGTTGTGCCACCCTCATTTTCTGAATTGTTTCTCCCCCATTAACATAAACCCGCCGCCCTCTAAGTTTCCTATCTAAACTTCCAAGTTGCTATTGTCAGTTTGATCCCATACAGCTAGTTCTTAAAAGAACACAATGCTCAAGGCAGACATTGTTTACTAATTAAGCTAAACTATTGCTTGGTTTAATGAAGATTTCAGGGGACATTTTTTGGTTTAGGTTTAAAGATTATCTCAGGTCAATAGTTCTGGGGGTTCAGCCAGCCTCAATGGATCCAGAAAGTCTGAATTCCATGAGATTTTTAAATTCTGTTCTGCATTTCCCCCTTTTGATCAGGAGTCATCTATAGAATCTTTGATCAAAACAGTTTTCTTATTACAAAGAAACCCTAAATAATACAACATTAATATGAGCCTAAAATGAATTAATAGAATTAAGAGAAGTGATCATGTTAAGATAGAAGGAAATGCCACACAATTTGATGTTCATTTTTATTTATCGTTGTTTGGTTTTAGAAAAAGGAGCATCCCAGGACAACTTAGAACAAGAAACTAGTTCCTCAGTCCTTAACTCTTCTAGCCTTATCAGACATCACTGAAGGAGCACAACACACTCCATTTTATTGGCTGCAGCTAACTGACCACAGTGAGCAGTTGCTGGGGATCACCTGCTCGGCAAGCTGAAGGGAAGTGTGTTTTGTGACTCTGCTCTGCACAGGGAAGGTGCAAAAAGTGGAAGAGAGCAAACCAGCTTCACTGTTGCCTTTTACATTCTCTGTGTGAGGATAAGTACTTGCTTAATCCCACTGTACTGGAGATTTGCCTTACCATTTATACAGAATGCGGCCTTTCTGTGTGTGTTCTTAGTTCCAGAATTTTTATCTCCGGGATTAGGGAAGATCAGGGAAATAAGCCAAATATTTCTTAGGGTGAGGGGCAGTGAGGCACCTTCAAACAACCTCTGTGAACTCTGCAATCTCCTGTGTCGGTTTGCCAAAGCGTGGCCTTCTGTTTTGGCACTAGGGAAAACATCTTCCCATGGGCTTCTAGGTCAGACACGCTAGGTCAAGAGAAGACTGTGCTTGGGGGAAGGATGTCTGTGAGAACATCACCAACAGGGTTAACTTACCTTCCCATCATGGCAGATTTCATAACCATCAGGCTTACACTCATGAGATCTAATGAGTAACTTCAAATGAAATTTATTAAGAATCTTGGAGGTAATGTCTGGTCCAAAATAGCAGCCTCCTCCTCGACTTTTGTTTGGGTAACAGCCTCTTTTGCTTCTGGGATCACTCCATAGAATATCGATAACCTTTGAACAACAAACTAGATTAGGCTGCTACTTACAAGTGGGAATCTATCTTTCTAGGTTCCAACTTATGTGCCAGAAATATTAATCCGAGTTATCCCAAAGACAAACTATTTCTCATTCTTCCTTCAAAATTGTTTCATACTTATTTCCTCCATGAATCCTTTCCATAGCCACTCCAATCCCTTTCCACTCATCCCCAATAACCAATTTAGCAACAATAATAACCAATTTAGCAATACTCAGTAATCATGAAGAATCAGCCCTTGCAATTTTTTTTGTCTTTAAAAAACCTTATCACATTTGTTTCACAATTGTTGAATCCACAAAGGTCTTTTCTCTAAAAGAGCTGCATTGTCATGTTCAGAAGAGAAAGCAGCTCCCCACAATGCACACACATAAGGTGTTTGTTATGGATTGAATTGTGTCCCCAAAGAGATATTATGAAGTCCTAATCCCTGTACCTGTGAATGTGATGTTGTTTGGAAAGAGGGTCTTTGAAGTGTTATCAGTTAACATGAGGTCACACTGGAGTTGAGTGGGTCCTAATTCAATCTGAGTGGTGTCCTTATAAAAGAGAAGAGGCACAGAGAGACAGACAGAGGGAAGACAGCCATGTGATGATGGAGGCACAGACTGGAGCTGCAAGCCAAAGAATGACAAGGATCGCAGGCCATCACCAAAAACCAGGACAGCGGCATGAAATAGATTCTCTCTCAAGCCTCAGAAGGAATCAACATGGTTGACACCCTGATTTTGGACTCCTAGCCTCCAGAACTGTGAGACAATACATTTCCATTCTGATAAGCCATCCAAGGAAACCCTGGTGGCGTAGTGGTTAAGAGCTAGGGCTGCTAACCAAAACGTCGGTAGTTAGAATCCACCAGGCACTCCATGGAAACTCTATGGGGCAGTTCTACTCTGTCCTATAGGGTCACTATGAGTCATAATCAACTCGACAGCAGTGGGTTTTTTAGTGGGATAAGCCATCCAATTTGTTGTATTTTGTTTCAGTAGCCCTAGGAGATTAATACAGTGTTCTTAATATGTTCAAAGAGAGAAGGTAGGTCTCCCAGCTGTGACTTTGGGCCAGGGTTTTTGTCCTGTTGAGCACACAGCCTGAGGAAGCCTTTGCTTTTTCCCATCACAAATATAGACAGACAACTGTTCATCCAAGAATACCTCCTGAGGCATCTATTTCACTTTCTGCCCCCTTGATAAGTACATTCTCAGTTTCAGCAATAGATTGTCACTTTTAGCTACTGATTGGTTTCTGCAATGTGTTCTCCTAAATCCCCAGGTATTTCATTAGTATAACATTTCCTTTTGGGACAGAAAGAGGCAAATGCAGGCTATACAATGCCCAGGACTAAAGACCCAAGTTTCTAAGAATATTTTTCATAGAAAATCAGAAGCTCCCTCTTCGCGGCTCTGATCTATGTATACTCACTGCCATCAAGTTGATTCCAACTCATAGCGAGCCCCATAGGGTTTCCGAGGCTGTAAATCTCTGCAGAAGCAGACTGCCACATCTTTCTCACTCGGAGCCGCTGGTGGTTTCGAACCGCTGACCATTTGGTTAGCAGTCGATCGCTTTAACCACCGTGCCCCCAGGGCTCCTTGATCTATGTATAATGCTTCTTTATTTAAACTTCTCCCACAAGAGATTAAGCAGTAGTGAGGAAAACTAGCTTTGTCACTAAAGCTGTGCAACTTTGAGATAACTCTCTAGGTCTCCTTTCTAAATTTTTTTAAATGGTCGGATGACCTGTAAAGTGTCTCAAAGTTCTAACAGACTATGATTCTAAGAGTCTATATTTTCCACGTTTCTTTTGAGGGCATGAAGAAGCATGCAAATTGTGCGATTATTCCAGTGGGTCCAAATCAAGTCTTAAGAAGAGGACCAGAAATGGTTGCCCCACTAAACGTGACCGTGCATCCATTCATGAGTTTGGTATTGAAGGAGAGCTAGAAATAAATGAGGGGAAAGACAATGAGGTAGAGATAAGAACAGAAATGGTAGGAGAACTACTCTAGAATGATAAGCATCTGGTCAGAACTGGATGAACCTTGCACCAGGCACATACTAGAGACTTGCAGAGTTCTTGACGATTGGTTGATGTGAGAATTAAAACCACTCAAACAAGATTCAGGCCACAATTCTCCCTTCTCCCTACTAAATTCCAACATGGGCACAGCCTTGCCCTACAAATAAATACAATGGAATCCTTTTGCTTTGCTGGTGTATATGATAAAATAATACTTGCACTTTAAGCTGAGTCATATCTGGCTCTTTATACCATGAGTTAATGTTTTGAGGACATGATTTGACCTTTAGTATAATGAAGGAAGAAATATGGAACACGAGGAGCTGTGTTTTCTTAGGAGGGGATGAAGTTCTAAATTCCTACATGAGTTGCTAATCATATATAACAAAAATTATCCCTGGGAAACCTCTGAAATTACCCTTAAGGTACAGTATACATGGCTTGTGCATACAACCCTATACAATAATATGGATGTGTGAGTATTTTACATATACAGTAATATACAGCACAGGGTAAAGAATATATATGAAAATGAAATTTTACAGTATTTTCCTCCTTTCTTGCCATATGCAGATAGTTGAATTTACATAAGTTAAATATACATATGAGGGGACTCTGGTGAACTAGAAAAAGCACTGACCAAGGAATTAGTTCTTCTATTAATTCCCTGTGTCGCCTTGGCCTTAGTTGGCTCATCATTGAAAGGAGGAAGATATATCTAACACTTATTTTTCTTTGATTCAAAGTCATATGGAGTATCAGTTTTATAAAAATGAACTTCTTCAGAATCCATTCTGTGAGTTCAGCATGTCTTTCTTCTGTCTAGAATTCATTCACTTGCCTAGGTTCACTCAGATCATGGCTGTAACATAGATTTAATTCTGGGGCCCTTTAATAAATTCCTCAGCAATCTCTTT